CCTCTCGCTTGACTTGGCAAACCGATTTTGAGAAATTTGATCCAACATGATGAAAGCATCCGGTATCGATTGACTCATAAAATTTCCCCCGGTTGATGCATCTAAGACCGTTCGTGCATTCTCGTTAATCCCTTGGTAGAAGATGTGGATTTGCCGCCATTGTTCGACTCCATGTGTTGGACATTGCCGCAAAAGAGTTTTAAATCTCTCCCATGCTTCGTATAATTGCTCGCCTTGCTCTTGGACAAAATTATGAATTTCTCGTCGGATTCTCTCGTCCTTCTCGGGTGATCTGTAAACTTTCATAAAAAGGTTGAGGAGTTGAGACCACGAAGAGATAGAGTGGGGGGCTTGGGACATCAACCACTGGCGAGCTCTTCCTTGTAAGGAGTGCTTGAAGAGAATTGATTGAAGCGCCTCTTGGGAAACGCCGTTTTGACGGTGGGAGTTACAGGTATCTAGAAAATTGACAATGTGAAGATGGGGATCTTCACCTGCCAATCCACTAAATAGCCCGTTATTTTGGAGCATCGTCAAGAGGCCTTGCTTGATCTCAAAATTGTGCGCCTCAATAGGTGGATATTTGATGCTCGGGCGGAATCCGTCATGAGTCGGGATTATGTAATCTTGAAGTGCCCGTGGCCTAGCTGCTGGCTGTACTGGAAGTTGAGGGGGTGGGTCTTTGGCTTGGTTTCCGTTGGCCCCGAGTAAATTACCTGCTGCCCTGCGTTCTTCGTCGTCCATTATATTGTTTTCGCGTTGAAGTCTCCTTGCGGCTCGAAATGTACGTTCGATTTCGGGATCAAACGGTTCTCTAGCAAGATCGAGTCTCCTACGCATACACAGTACCTAAAGCAAAAATAAAATAAAACAAAAATTAAATGGGTGAATCGTGAAAATTGTTCAAATCTAGAGCTAAAATAAAATAAATAATTAAAATATTCCCCGGCAACGGCGCCAAAAACTTGTTGGCCGAAAACCTACACGCAAGTGCACGTATCGTACAAGTAATATAGTGGACAATTAAGTCCGGATATCGAACTCACTTGGAATATTTAATTATCTAATCCTATACGCTAAATTCTACCAATTATTATCAAGCCCACCCTACACAGTCGAATTTTAGAGAGAATTAACTAAATTAAACTAAATTAAAAGCATGCAAAAACAAGAAAGCAATTTAAAACGAAGATTTAATCAAGATAAGCAAGCCTAGGATTTTATTCTTCCCCCTATATGATTATTACTCCCCCAATTCCTTCAATTATGCAAGCAATTAACCCGGATTATTAACCTGAGATGCTAAAATAATCATAACCCGTTTCCGCGTGTATTACGATTCTAATACTCTAGATTCAATTACTATATTCCTATGCAATTAATTCTAGAACACAGCATTAAGGACAAATCTCAATAATGGCTACCTAAGAGATTAACTGTATTCCTATGTTAATACCACAAAGGCTCTTCTACCACAGTTCTAATTATTAACCCGATCTTCCGATTCATGCGATTAACAATAACATAAAAACGCATAAAGTGGCCAGTTTCATGAACTTAATAAAACAAGTAGAAGAAATAATCCGGAATTAAAACTTGCATAAAATCATAGAAAAGGGTTCATAAATCCCACATAGGGTTCCAAATAAAATCCTAGAAATAAGAAATTTAGCTACTCATGATTAAAGCAAAAACGCAAATAAAATAAGTCATAAACGATAAATCTATGCTTAGAATCTTCGAATTCTTCGTCTTCGTTATTGCTTTGTTGCTCTCCAAATTGCATAAAAATATCCCCATTTGTGTGCTTGACTTGTCTTATATAGGGTGAAGAACTTGGGGAAGAAGGCAGTTTCATTGTGCAATTAAAATTCCTTTACTGCGCAGCTTCGGAGTCTCGGACGGGGGCCCACATTTTCAACAAAAACTCGGACGGGGGTCCGAGCTTTAAATCTTCATAATTTTGATTTTTTCACTTTTGACCCATATTTTCTTCAAAATTGCAGTTTTGACCCCATAGTTTTCCAATTCTTCAATTTGTACCTAAAATACAATAAATCAACTTTTTAAGCACCAATTATCGTTAAAACACACCAAAATCTCAAACAAAAAGATACGATAAAGTGTAAAAATATACACTTAACACTTCCTCTCACGTTAGGAACTTCGTGAGCTGCCTCTACAAATCGTTGAATGTAGTTGCGGAAGGTTTCTCCCTCTCTGTGGGTGATAGTGAAGAGGTACGCAGGAGTCTTAGCGTACTCTTTGTTGATAGCAAAATGGCGGGTGAAGAGATCCGTCAGTTGGTAGAGAGCTTCAATTGACCCAGTGGGCAAGGAGTTGAACCAGCTCAATGCTCATTCGGAGAGCGTTGTGCGAAACATCTTGCACATCGCCGCATCAGTTGGGCCATATAGATCTGCCATGGCGTAGAACTTTTCAAGGTGCTTTTGTAGGTTACTAGTTCCATCGAACTGTGGTAGACTCGAAACCTTCCACCAATAGGATTACCTATGTGGGGAATGTGATTTGACCGAGATACCCGACTGTGAATTTCATCATCTTCAACATTGTGTGGAGGTACTCATTGGCAAGAGGCGTTGCCTCTTCAAGGTGAACGTGGGTCTCGTCGCCCAGTTTGTGCATTATGGCGATGAGTAGATTGTTGCATCCGAGACCTAGGATCTCAAGTGGATGTGTTATCCGGTGGCGGTGGTGGATCCTGCGGGGGATTTATCTGGACATCATGAGGTGGATCCTGATTACGAGGAGAAAGTGGCAAGCCAGAGCCTCCGCGAGGTGGGAGGTTGTTAGCATTGGCACATTCTCTCCAAGTAGATGACTGAGGGACATAATACGTGCTACGTGATCTTGTATGCCTTCCCGCAGACGGCGCTATTATGATGATGCTAGAAATAGATCACCTTAAGTAGTTGCGATAGAGGGAGCTGTGACAGCAAAGTGGATCACTGCAGCTCACGTACTAGATGGTCCTGAGATACCTGCGAACAGAGAACACGTGAACTAGGCCGGGGGTTGATCCGGCAGAAACCAATTTATCAGGCCCAAACCTTATTTGAAGGTGATTGGGCCTCCGTAGTAATAGTTTTTAAACTGGGCTTGTGGTCCAGTAAATAAATAAATCGTAGGTCCATTGGACAGGCCCAATAGGCATATCAGAATTTTAAAGGAGTTCATTCTTATAAATCATAGACAGTATGGGGAAGTTTAAGGATAATCTGAAGCTTGCCTGGTTATTCAAGTTATAATTTGAGGTCAGTGTCTTCTGTTTAGTTGTAAATGAAGACTATATGTTCGGTTAGGTATGTGATTTGCCAAATTTGGATAATGTTTCGAATTATTATAATTTTTCAAAACATACTGCTAAAATGATTTTTTGTCGAATCTCGGCAGTTTCTGTTATCATTTTCTTGGGCTGTTTTAGCTATTGTTTCACTCATAATTTGAAAGTGGTGTCTTCAGTGAACTTGTAGATCTTGTTGTTAGCTTTAGTTTGGCATATCATTTGGTCTGTTTTGATATACATGCAGTTTGTTATGGTTTTTTCTAATAAGTTGTACCAAAAATAATCTTTCCAAAATCCTGGCAGTTCTGTAATGCTGGTTTGAGGCTGTTTCTGCTATTTTTGGTTCATAATCTGGGACTAAAGCCTTATGTGAACTTGTAGGATTTTATGTTATCTTTCATTTGACGTATCGCGTGATCAATTTGGATAAACGTGGAACCTGTTATAGGTTTTCAAGTGAACTATGGCAACATATTAGTTTTGTTATTAGGTTGAGAAACTCGTCTAATAAAATGAGTTAATTCTATGGGTTTGAGGCTCGGTTTGGTACATGACATAATTATGTGTTGAGCTTAGGTGTTGGGTTATGGGATTACATTAATTTAGAATTAGCAAGTAAGTTTTTCGGCC